CCCCAAAACCCCAAAACCCCAAAACCCCAAAACCCCTCTTCGTGCACATTTTGTTGAATTTTTTATTATTTAGTGGCAGAAGTCCTGACTTTACTAGCCAAGGAATTCTTTAGCAAGGTACTCCTTTGTCTTGCCCTGCCTTCTTCTGAACTAACACTCTCTGCTGTCTCTTCCTGAATATAGCCTAGTTTCTTTTTAGGTTTAGGCTTTGGTTCAGGCTTATCGTCTTCTATTTTAATAGGTTGAGTATCATCCAAAAATCTTTGCTCGAGTCTATAATCTTCTACTGCTTCTTCTCGAGTCCTAGCTGGACTGCTGACGCTTCCTTCCATTTTTTGCTCAGTGAAGGAGCCGTAGTCCATATTTTGGCTTCCAATGCTTTCTTTTGAATCAAGTTTGGACTTCTTCACATGGAAAGTTTTCAGGTCATAATTCAGAAACTCTTCATTAGCGACTATCTTAGTCGATTTGTCCTTAGCAACAGAGCGTTGCAGCAGGATAACATTTGGGTCAGGTTGACTGACCGAGTTCTGCTTCCTAAACACTTTAAACCTAGAGTCACTACCGTTTAGCGTCATTGATCCGACGCTCTCTCTCATTGATCTTCTTGCCTTCCTTGTTGGGAGGGACTACCTTTTGCTTTCTCTTGTTGAAGAACATGTCTTTACGGTTCTCTGAAGGGTTAGGACTAAGCCTACTTGGCTTTATATTTGATATAGTGAACTGCTCCTCTTTTTCAGTCTGCTCTGCCAAGTACTTCTCTAGCTTGAAGCTTTCGTAAAGGCCACTAGACTGGAAAACATGGTCTAAATGTTATAGAGAAAAATACTCTTTCCAGTTGGGTTCTTCTTTGTGGAAACCCAGAATCTTGGTTTATTCACTATAATTTAGGGGGAAGTATACAATCTCTCACTTTCTTCTTCCTTGATAGGAAGGAATTCTCCCTATTTTGATAGTCCTGATCTTCAGGAAAATCTATTTTACAGACCTAGAGAGGTCAGAAGATGTAAATATACATTCTTGATGATCGTAAATCTACCAGCACTTTTGGTATTGCGATGGTTTGGATTATCCTCCTCTTTCATCTTCTTAGCAAAGGATCGCTTGTTAGACACAGGAAGTAGATACTTTGGAGAACCAACGGTGATGTAAGCCTTGTTTAATGGGTTTAATGGACTCCCAAGATTAGACTTTGCATAATAATCAGTATTGATATTACTCGTTCTCCGATGATCATTTACGTGGATACTGGACTCATCATTTGAAAAATCATTCCCAAGATTTGTGCAAGTTTCATCATAATTATTCGAGCTGATATGGCTTGCAGAAGCTTTCCTCTTGGTAGAACTACCAGGTCCAACTCCTGCATCTACCTTACCAAAGGTATGGTCGATATCATATTCTTTTGAAAAGTTATCTATCTGTAAGAATTAAGAGGCATAGATTTACCCGACGCTGATGGTACCTATTCTTTTGGGTTTTAGACAAATTATTCTCTCTTTTGATTGTGTATTTTTCAATAGATGAGATTGTATCCTTTGGAAACCTAAAGCTCAAGTGAAAATTACTGTGTATTTCCTCCTAGCGTGTGATTATTTTTCACTAATTTTATCGACGCTTTCTTTCCTCTACCAATTACGTACTTGTTCTACACAGAATTTATGAAAGATTAGATTAAAAGGAAATCAAGTTTTACAATTAAGAGCATATTGTGCACATTGTAAAATTCCTTACCTTTGAAACCCCTGTAATGCTCTTCTCACGAGGAGAATGGGGCTGACTAAAGTGTCTTTGCTCCACTTCTGGAGCCAACCTCTCCGCCATGAGGGAGGTATTGGCTTCTCTATGGTCTTTCCTCTGAACTATTTTCCTCTTTTTATCTCCAGTCAAGTCGATGATAATGCTATTGTTCTTCTTTATAGAATTCTGAAAATCATTCTTGATTCCTTTGTGAACGAGTAGGATGCTATTTTTCAATATTATTTTCATAAGATTCCTTCTCAAGTACTTTCTGAAGGTAATTAGTAGTCTTAGGCCTGAGATTGCCTCTGAGGCTTCCCTCCCATTTATCCATCCTGATTCTAGCCTGACGCTTATTTAAGATCAACGATGCTCTTGATTCTCTTATTTCTCACAAAATTTGAGACTTTTGAGTATTCGATAACCCCAGGTTTAGAGAGTAGACCTCTTTCGTATTCTGAAAGTAACCCGAATGTTCTTGGAGTGGACACAATGTCACTAAAATTATTCAAAAACCCAAATTTCTCCTTAGTCGTCTTTGGAGAATTAGGGTGTGAAAATACTGTCTTATTTCCATGTGCAAAGGAAGTATACATTGAGAGTCCCAGATATGTCTCTGGGACCCTTGGGGTCTTCTTATCAGTTACTTGATTCACAGGGGTGAATGGATCCTTATACGAAATAGTTCCATTCAGCATGCACAGGACCTTAGGACTCGGCTTCACAGGAATGAATGCATGTGTATCTTCCATGTATGACTCTTTCCTACAAAAGTTAAGCTAAATTTACTGGAGAGGATGATTGCCAAGCATAAGCTAATAAATATATATTTAAATTTATTGCCAAATGGGGTTTTGGGGTTTTGGGGTTTTGGGGTTTTGGGG